CCCGACGGCGGCGGAGGCTCTGGCCTGCGAGCTAGTCCGGGGCCCGGCGAGCTGGGCAAGGTCAAGAAGGAGCAGCAGGACGGCGAGACGGACGACGACAAGTTCCCGGTGTGCATCCGCGAGGCCGTCAGCCAGGTGCTCAGCGGCTACGACTGGACGCTGGTGCCCATGCCCGTGCGCGTCAACGGCGCCAGCAAGAGCAAGCCGCACGTGAAGCGGCCCATGAACGCCTTCATGGTGTGGGCGCAGGCGGCGCGCAGGAAGCTGGCGGACCAGTACCCGCACCTGCACAACGCCGAGCTCAGCAAGACGCTGGGCAAGCTCTGGAGGTGAGCACCCCGCGCGCCCCCGCTCTGGCCCCACCCCGGAGGTCCGGGCTAGCCCGGGGCGGCCTAGACTCCCGACCCTGGGCCAGAGATGGCTGGGCCCTCCGACCCTGGGGAAGGCCAGGGGACCTTGGGGACCGTGCCCGCCCATCCGCCTTAAGTAGCCTCTTGGGGTCGCCTGGCTGTGCACCCCGGAATTCAGCCCTCCAGGGGCCTGAACCGGGTCTCCTCAACCCGGGCGCGGGCAGGAAGGCGCCCCCTCGCGGCTGGAATTCTGCTGTCTGTGGCGGGTCGCGGGGCCACAGCCTGCGCGCTGAAGGAGGAATGGGGAGGCTCCGAGCTGGGGGCCTACAGACTATGCCACATTCGCGCTCACTCAAGTGTGTCCGCGCCACCAGTGCCAGGGGCCAAGGGGCTATGGCGGAGACGGTCCGGAAAGAACTCAAGGTCTGGCTGGCGATGCTGGGAAACTGAGGCAGACAGATGGAGAACTAAAGGGAGGGTCAAGGAAGACAAGGAACCCAGAGGGATCTTGGGAGTGAGGGGAGAACTGCCCGCCCTATCCCTGCGGAGTCTCCTCTGACCCAGCTATCTCCCAGGCCTTCACCCCACCCTCCTTGGGCTGAGGGTTTCTTCAGTCCCAGCCCAGGAGACACACAGGAAGAGGCCTCCCCTGACACCCTGTCCCAGAACCTCCAAGCTGGTATCCATGCCTTCCCTCCCTCTCCCAGTTGGGCGCCATCTTCCCTGGCAGACCCCACCCAGTGCTGAACAATCTCTTCCCCACAGCCCTGGAGCTGGCTTGAGCAGCCCACCAGGAGGACGCCTTGATCCCTTTCCTACCCAAGGTCTAGAGTCCCAGGCTTCTGGGGAAACAGCCCCTCAGGGAGGAACGCTCACGCTGACTAGGGCTGAGTCTCACCCCCACCCTAAAAGTCCCAGGACAGCTCCCTAAGAGGACCTGGGTTCCAGCAGATGCCAGTCTGCAGAGGTCACTTGATCCCCTCTAGACTGGCCCGGAAAGACACGGCAAAAGTCACCTAGCAGCTGGCAGAGCCAGGTCTCCCACCTCATAGTCAGAGGTCTTCCCTACTGGTCTCTGGTGGCAGTCATGGGTCACTCCTCACTGTAAGACGTGGCCAGGAGATGGTGAGGATGGGGTCATAGAAAAAGTGGCAGGAGCACAGCACATCTGGGTTTGAGGAAGTCTGGGGTCCATCCCAGGAGCCTACCCCCACTTGCCCCTCCACTGGCCCAGCACAGTGGCAATGGGGCCCAGAAGCCAAAGGCTGGAAGGAGCAGGAGGGTCCGCAAGAGGCCAAGAGATGTGCATCCAGCCCCTCCTGCCCTGGCCATGTGCTTGGGAAGGCCTAGCGCCCCTCCACCGCCCTCTCACCTGAGCCCCTGCTCCTGTGCTGTGTGGGCCCAGTGAGCCCAGCTCTGCCCAGGAGCAGAGGTTGCAGCCAGCTGCTTTGCCCAGGGTCCATCTAGATGAGGGAGAGGTGAGGAGGGCGCCCCCGCTAGGCCAATGTCTTTGAGGCTGTGGGACAAAGAACCAGAACCAGACAACTAGGGGGGAGACAGAGCAACAGACACACCAGGCCCTAAGGATTGTGATCAGAGAGACGAAGCAAGGTTGGACCCCCACTCTCTACTGCTGGGGGTTTAGGACGGGCCCCTCTGTTGTCCCTGTCCCAGTTCCCCTACTCCAGAACCATGGATTTGGGCCCAATTCAAGAGGACTTGCTCCTGGCCACCATTCAGGGGTGCCCAAAGGGCTGCACCTGGACAAGGTGGTAAGCCTGCTGGCTGAGTACGCAGCCCAAGGGTTGGAGTGACAGGATGGTGGCAAGGACCCAAGGCCAGGCCCACAGGGGCTGGCTACCTGGGCCCAGGTGGGGGGTCCAAAGAGATTCTGGGGTGGGGCTTCTCCTAAATGCTCCCTCCCAAGCTTCTGACCCTGGGCCATCAGGAAAGCAGGTGGCTGGGTTCTAAAATTGCACAGAGTCAGTCAGGCTGGCAGCTGGGGAGTGCCACGTGCAGGCTGGGGCCAGAGCGCCGCAGCACAAGGCCTAAGTGCCATGTGAGCACCACCAGGCACCCTGACCTCCAGTGCTACCTGGGAGGAGTACTGGATGCCAATCCCACGGGTGGTGGGGGCCGGCCAACTGCCTGGAAAGCTCGACCAGCGCCAAGAAACTGGGAAGAGGGCGAAGGCTGAGCCTTCCCCAGGTGATGGTGCTCAGCAAGCCCCGCCTGGCCACGCTCAAGCCCCCAGACCCTGTCCCCAGGTAGTCATCCATGCCACTGTTGGCCTGACAGAAGGACACGTGTGGCAGCAGCCATGTCCCTCTGGGAGCCTCCAGTTGGGATTTCCAGTTTGGGTGGAGAATCACCCCTCTCCCCCGATCCTGAACCGGACCAGGAAGAAAGAGGGCAAATGAGAACCGCACTGGGATCCCAAGGGGGCTGGTAATGCCGGGAGTCAGGGTTAGCTGTGAGGCTGGGATGAGTGGATGGGGTGAGGAGAGCAGAGAAGAGAGTGAACAAAGCTAGAGTTGGGATGGAGGTGGGGTTGCAGCTGCAGCTGGTGGGGTTAGAGTTGGGGTGGCTCTGGGCCCTGGGTTAGATTCCTGTTAGGGTGACTGCACTGCTGAGAACAAGCTGTGGGTGCAACAGTGTTAGAATCTCCCCTCCCCCTCCGCGAGCACGCGCACACACACACGCACACGCGCACACGCACACTGCCACTTTCTTGCTGATTGCTGCTTGCCAGCTGGGCGGGGAGCTTTGGGAAGGGTCAGGTCAGAAAGCCAGCTCAGGGGTGCCAGCCACCCCGGCATGGGGGCTGCACTGGAGGAGCCGCTCTGAGGGCCGTGCAGTTTTCCCCAGGATGGGTGCCTGCATCTTCAGCCCTGACTCCAGTCCTGCTTTGGGTCTCCATCATAGGCACTATGGGTAGACACTGTCCCTGATGCGTGCTGCTCAGCTGGATGGCCCCTTGGAGAAAGCTGGGTGGAGGTGGAGGGCAGGCAGGGAGGCTAAGCTGCAGAGGAATGCTGGGCCGGCGAGGAGGTGCCTGGTATGACCACCCGTTCCTGGGCCGGTGTGGACCAGGGGCTCCCCCCTGCTGCCTGGGGGAGAGGACCGCTGGGCGCAGGGGTGGGGCAGCTGGAGAAAGCCCCCAAACAGAGGGGACTGGGCTGCTGCCACAGGGCACTGCTGGGCTCTCCATGCCCATGTCTGGGAGCCCAGGAATCTCTATCCCTTCCCTCACTTTCCCCTCCGACCCTGGCCTGAGTCTGGGGTCCGGGGAGCAGGGCCACCATTCTCCGTCCGTGAGCAGCTCAGGTACTGTCGAGCTTCCTCTGTCCTTTGTCACTCCCTGGACATAGTACAAGAAGGGGACAGTGCCCCCGTGGTGAGACAAACTCACACCTAGCCTCACTCAATCCCACACACTGGAGCTCGCACAATCAGCATCCTGAACTTGGGCCACTCCGGGTCAGCACCCCACCCCGACAGCACTAGAACAGCACCTGTTTCTCTGGGGCCCCACAGGCCAGTGAAGTAGACATCATCATGCTCATTTTATAGGTGAAGAAACTCAGGCTCAGAGAAGTAACTTGCTCACGGTCACACACTCAGCTAGTAAGTAGCAGAGACCGGGCTCATTCCCCAGCAGCTGCTTCTGTGCTTGCACACCTCCAGCCCCAGGGAGCTCACCCCCTAACGAGGAAGCTTAGTTCCACTTGCAGACAGCTTTGGTAAGGAGAACAGTTTTCCTTTCCTTGAACTCATATCTGCCCCTTGTAACATCTGTGCCCACTTTTAACCCATCACGGGGGCCTGAATCATCACACCCTCCTCCAGCCCTTCAGAGATTTGGGGCAGATCCTAGCCCTCTGGGGTACGCACCTTCCTGTCCATAAGCACAGGGCAGCCCCCACTTGCCCTCTGTCCATCTGGGGTCCTCGGGCCCCCTGACTTGCAGGGCTGACACTGAGAGGGAGGCGGTGGGGTGCTCTGGCACTCATGCCGGGCTCTGCTGTCCTTCCCGCCACCACCCACCCCAGGCTGCTGAACGAGAGTGACAAGCGCCCCTTCATTGAGGAGGCCGAGCGGCTCCGCATGCAGCACAAGAAGGACCATCCGGACTACAAGTACCAGCCCCGGCGGCGCAAGAATGGGAAGGCGGCCCAGGGGGAGGCCGAGTGCCCGGGGGGAGAGGCCGAGCAGGGAGGGGCCGCTGCCATCCAGGCCCACTACAAGAGCGCCCACCTGGACCACCGGCACGCGGAAGAGGGCTCCCCCATGTCGGACGGGAACCCCGAGCACCCCTCGGGTGAGTGCTGGCTGGGAGCTGCCTGGGTCTGGAGCACAGAGCTGGGGCAGGGGAAGCTGGGCCAAGGTGAGGAGGGGCTACACAGCTGGGACCCTGATGTCCCCAGCGGCCCTGGGATCTTGGAGAGGCTTTCCAGGCGCTGCCATTGCCCCAACTGGGATGTAGGGGAGGTGGCCGGGTGAGATGGCACGGGCCAGGGCTGACAGGGCACCAAGGCAGGGCAAAGAGAGACAGATCAAGAAGCCATGGAGGCTATGGGCTGAGAAGTGGCTGCAGCAGTTACGAGGAAGGGGGCAGGGTGATTTTGAGAAACGGCAGATCAAACGGAGGAGAGGAAACCACTCCCTTGCCCACCTCCTGCTCTGATGGGGCCCATGCATGTGACATTAAGTGTGCATCACAGATGGGCAGACACAGGATATCTTGCTACATGCTCACTAACGATAATCAGAGCTGACGTTAACTGAGCACCTACGGTGTGCCAGGCACCTACTGTGTCCCATGGCTTCATATGCACTGACTCCTTCAGTCCTCCAGTCAGCCCCAAGCAGTATGGCTGGTGCCCACCTGCCAGGCTTCAGATTCAGCTGTGTGCGGGTGGGAGAGGAAACAGAAGGGGAATCTGCCATGCAGCCCAGGCAGCTGGGGTCTGGGGCCTCTGCTTGGCCTGTATATAGTGCCTCGCTCACATCCCCGATGCACAGAAAATACTGTCTCAGAGCTGGCACACCAGAAATACTTGAGGCGCTGCCGTCAGAGGATACACTGGGTCCTACTTTGTCAGGCCCCGTGAGTTGCCAGGGGCACTTCCAAAAAGAGCCCACAGTCTACAGGGAGGCCCAAGGACGAGACGAAGTGAATTATGTACAGGAAGAAACAAGTACAAGAGAAGCCTTAGCTGGAGGTGGCATCCTCTAGGAGGAGCCATCCACCTGTTTGCCCAGTCAGATTGCTAAAAACAGGCGACTACCAGCTGCAGTCAAGGAAGACTTCCAGGAGGCAATGCCTGTGCTTCCTGGTCTCTCTGGTCTTACCGATAAGGAAATTGCTTAGAGAAGTTGGGTGTGGTGGTATATGCCTGTGTTCTCGGCACTCTGGGAGGCTGAGGCAGGAAGACCAGAAGTTCAGGCCCAGCCTGGGCAACTTGGCAACTTAATGAGACACTGTCTCAAATTAAAAACAAAACAAAACAGCACAGGACTCAGCACTGCCTCTGGTCTGATGGAGGAGGCACAGCCTGTCCTACAGGACTCCTGGACTATAGGACTATGATGAACCAGTCTTTCTTGTGGGATGCCCACTCTGCCATCCCCCTGCACAGGTAGAGGGACACACACACACACACACACCCTGGGGCCCTGGGCCATGCACAGAACCACCACGAGTGAAACCATGGCATGGACTTTTTCTCCTCCTTCAAGGCCCCCTCCAGACTTCCTCAGTGAGACTCCCCACAGTGCCAGTGTGGGAGCAAGCCGCCTCCGGTCTCCCGAGTCCTTTGTGTGTCCCACTCTAGGCAACAGTGGGTCTGTGATCTCTCCCAGCTCTGAGCTTTTGGGGCCAGAGCTGCGACGTATTTGTCTATATCTGCAGCACCAGGACCAGTGCCTGGCATGCAGCAGTGCGCCCTGGGTGAATCAGCTGAGCAAATGCGTAGATGAGAAAGGGAACAAAGGAACAGGGTGTCTCAGTGCCCTCTCAAGGGCCAGCAGGGCGCCACAGGCCAATGTGATAGAGCTGGACATGGTCAGCAGAGTGGGAGCGGGCAGGGTGAGGCGGAGGGCGGGGATGGAGGGGACATGGTGTCGTCTGGGAGCCCTGGGCAGGGAGCAGGCACAGTGAGACAGGCAGTCCAGCATACAGAGGGCAGCGGAGACTCGGCAGGGAGAGCAGAGAGGGAGAGTTCCCAGAGAGCAGACAGGGCTGCGGGCTACACCAGCCCGGGGTCAGCAGCTGTGGGACAGCACGAGCAGGAAGGCTGGGACGGCTGGGAGCCGACAGGTGGGAGGCAGGACCCATCCCTAGATCTGGGAATTTCATCAACTTGAGACCAGCAGATAAATACCAATCATAAAAGATAGATGATAGGAAAAAAAAAGAAAAGGGAAAAAAATACCAGCTTGCTGACAAAACACGTGAGCCTTCCGAGTTCAGCAGGGATCAGCCCTTAGCTGCCTGGTGCTCACTTCCTGACTGTCTCCTCCTTGCTCTTCTGTCTCCCTCCACCCAGGCCAGAGCCATGGCCCACCCACCCCTCCAACCACCCCAAAGACAGAGCTGCAGGCGGGCAAGGCAGACTCCAAGCGGGATGGGCGCTCCCTGGGGGAGGGCGGGAAGCCTCACATCGACTTCGGCAACATGGACATCGGTGAGATCAGCCACGAGGTCATGTCCAACATGGAGACCTTTGATGTGGCTGAGTTGGACCAATACCTACCACCCAACGGGCACCCGGGCCACGTAGGGAGCTATTCGGCAGCCGGCTATGGGCTGGGCAGCGCCCTGGCCGTGGCCAGTGGACATTCTGCCTGGATCTCCAAGCCACCGGGCGTGGCTCTGCCCACAGTCTCGCCACCTGGTGTGGATGCCAAAGCCCAGGTGAAGACAGAGACCGCAGGCCCTCAGGGGCCCCCACACTACACTGACCAGCCGTCCACCTCGCAGATCGCCTACACCTCCCTCAGCCTGCCTCACTACGGCTCCGCCTTCCCCTCCATCTCCCGCCCTCAGTTTGACTACTCTGACCATCAGCCCTCAGGACCCTATTACGGCCACTCGGGCCAGGCCTCTGGCCTCTACTCGGCCTTTTCCTACATGGGGCCCTCTCAGCGGCCCCTCTACACGGCCATCTCTGACCCCAGCCCCTCAGGGCCCCAATCCCACAGCCCCACACACTGGGAGCAGCCAGTATATACGACGCTGTCCCGGCCCTAAAGATAGCCCTGCCTCAGCCAGCCCCAACCCCAGCCTGTGTGTCCTTGTCCTCTCCCGTCTCAGCCTGACGGTGGCAGAGGCAGGGGAGGAGGCTGCAGAGGCTGACAGCAGAGGGGCAGCTTCCCGCCAGCTCCCTGCCCTGATGACCCACTGCCCCATCCGAGCTCTGGAGCCCCACCCTGGCTGACAGCTGGGTGGAGGAGGAGGAGGGTGATGGCTTCCCCTAGACTAGAGGGTGAGGGGCTGCCCCTCCCCCAGAGATGGCCCTCCATCCCAGAGCCTAGGAAGGACCCACTCACCCCTTGGGGAAGGAGGCAGCATCTGCGCATGGGCAGGCATCGGAGGCCTTGCCATTCCTGTTGCCCCTCTTTTGGAGAGAGAGGGTCTGGTGGGCTCTGGTGCCTAAGAACTATGCCACTCAGAGACTTGCATCAGAGCCTAGAGCTGGCTGTGTGGCTCAGCGGCTGGGGACAGCTCTGAGCAGCCCCGTGGGAGGAGCTCAGGGGATGTTCTCAGCCCTTTAAGACTCCCCCGCCTCCTGAATGCAGGAAGAAATGGGCGCACAGGCCCCCAAGTCCAGTTCTGCACCAGTAACCTCATCGCCTGTCTAATCGAGGGGAGCCCCCAGGCATCCCTGACCCCACCTCCCACCTTAAATTAAGGCCACCCCAGCTGAGAAGGCAGGGGCTCCAGGAAAGGGTTCCGAGACAGTTTGCAGAGCCCTTCTCCCAGGGCTCCTGGCCAGCGCCCCCTTTCCTCACGCTCCAGGAGACTTGGGGCCCAGCACCCAGGCTGCGGGGAGCAGCTGAAGACACTAAGATCCCACCGTGTACATTCTTCCTTGCCTTCCACCCTTTGCCTCCCAGTGGTATCTGAATAAAGTATGTAGCTATTATCTGCCCCCACTTTCCTGTTCTCCTGTGGCCCCCACCGTCCACATGTAACGCATTACTGTCCCCCCTTATTTATCTCAGTAGTCCCCTCGCCCCTCGCCCTCCTAGCTGCTCCAGCCCCTATTAACTGCATTAAGCATTCCAAGTAATAAAATTAAAGGTTCCGGTTACCTGTGTGATGGGCCTGACCTGTCTCTTGGTCTCTTGTCCCTGCCCTGTGCTTCCTCAGGAGGGTTTCTGGAAGTAGCTAGGAAGAGGATGTGGGGACGAGTGGGAGCTGTCCGTGCGCCGGAACTAAAGCTTCCCTGGCTCTCTTCTTGGGCCACCTGGGCCTCACTGCCCCTCCGTTCACCCAGTAAGGTAGAACCGGCAAAGAACTTGAGGGACAGGTGTTAGAAAGGGGGAGGTGGGGTGACTTCTGTCGGCAGTCAGGCCTGGTCCCTTAAACGTGTGCGATGAGACTGGGCATGGTGGCGCACGCCTGCAACCCCAGCACTCAGGAGGCTGAGGTAGGAGGATCTCTGTGAGTTTGAGGCCAGCCTGGGCTACACAGCAAGATCCTGTCTCAAAAACCCAAAAAGTATGTGATGTGCAAATGGTTTGTCTGTTGCCACACCCTTCCGCCTGCCTCCTCCCCCAGAGTGCACGACACACGGTATACACACCAGGGCCGAGCTGAGCTTCCCAGCACAGCCTATCTGGATCACAGGCAGGGGTGCCGGATGTGCAGTGTTACCCGTCATTGTTCGCTCCCTAAGAGCTTTGTCCTCAGCAGGGGCCAGCACGTAACCCAGGGACAGCAGCCTCCTCACCCCTGCTGTACCGACCGACCGCTGGGAGTTCCCATGGTAACCAGAAGGGCTACCACGAGCTATGTGCCACCAGGTCAAGGAGCCCAGTGCTCCGTGTTTTATGTCGTGCAGGCCTGAGGGGGCACGTCCCATCCTTATTTCAATTTCCTGGCTGAAGCTCCAGGAGGTTGGATCTCAGAAGCACTGGCCCCAGAGTCTGAAGCCAGCACTGACTCCAAAGCTTACTCTCGAACGACCCTCTTCCCCTCCACCTGCACTGGGCTTGCAGACTTTACTTCCGCTTCCACCTTGGAGCTTTACATCTCCTGCTAGTCTGAGCTCCTCCCTTCCACTTATGGTCTCCAGTCCCCCCACCTCCTGTCAGGGCCAGGGAAGGGTAGACACGGGGAGCTAAGTCAGCCCCTGGGATGGCAGGACACCTCCATCCGGAAGCTGCGTCGAGCCCCCTGCCCAAAGCTGCTGGCTCCATAAAGGGTGATGACTGAGAGGTCCTGCTCTTTCGGTATCTGCTGCGAAGTCTGACCACCAGAACTGTTATAAGCTGCTTATGGTGTTTTCTTTTGTTATAAAGGCAGGATTTTATTCTAATCACTAACAGATTGTCTTGCTGGATGTGATCCATCTACCTATTTTAATCTTGGAACCTCGTTCTCCAGAATTTTATGTATCTGCAAATGTGAATATGCTCATTAAGTCACTAATAAAGGTCAAAACCAAGAGGGACGGGGCCCTGTGTATATCACTAAGTACCTCCCCCATCACTACCTGATTACATCACCATCCAATACCTGCTTCAGACCACCCAGTGCCTCACTAAAATCAAGAGTCACCGATCTGTGGTATTCCCTAGACCCACAAAACCAGAAACCATTGGGGAAAAAAGAAACTGATGTGGCAATATTGAATACTCTTAGGAATGGTGCTGGCTCCTGGACCTCCACTTTATCATCTCAGTGCTGTCAAACATGTAAAAACCTACTCTAGAATTCCAATATGGATGGGTCAGGGCTAACCTTATATGCCCCTCACTTTCCCCTATTGAAAGGCAGGACACCTGTCCGCTTCCGGTCTTTTCACAGCTCCTGCTCTCAGAGGCACAGTGGACATGGGGCTGGCAGGGCAGAGGGACAGGTGGTATCCGGCTGAAACCACCACCTCCAGGCCCCTGCACCTCGTAGGACTGGGTATGGAGAAGAAATGGTACCAGGAGGAGGACAAATGACCCCGGGGAAGCCAGAAAACCTGGCTGTACTCTTCCCTTAGACAACAGGTTCTGGGGAGCTGGAGTCTCAGTGTAGCAATAGCTCCACTTGCAAAGAGGAGCAGGTGTTTCTGGAAGGAACTGTGAGGCCGATGCCCAAGCTAAGGCAATACAGGCCCCGGCAGTGGTGCCGTGTGCCTTTACATGCGAGAGGTCAGATCCAAGCCTGGCCAGCTGAGTAAGGGGCTCCCCAAAGAGGAGTAGAAGGGAAGGGAGAGGTAAAAGCGAAGACACCCCTTTGTCCCATTTCCTTATACCATATCCCCTAAGGGTTAACCCCCCTCCTCTCCCGCCCAAACCCCATCTCCCTTTAATCACATCTGATACTGAGCAGCCCAGCAGGGAACAAAGAGACCATTTAGAGAAATGGGGCCGAGAAAGTGACCCCCACACTCTGGGGCGGCCGCCTGGATGCCAGCACAAAGGCGGCATTTCAGAGCTGAAATTTCAGCACCCAACTTGATTAAAGGATTCCACAGGCTCAGAGGAGGGTGGCAGGGGTGCGAAGTCCACCCTCCCTGATTTAACCCCTCTCCAGAGCAGCCAGCACCCCTCCCACCCTCGGGCCGCTCATCCTTCCCACCCCATCCAGGGTGCCACCCCAGAGGCCACTGCCTCTTGCAGGTCAGGCAAGCCTGACTCCTCCCCCCGTGGCAGGGAGCTGGTGATGAAATGGTCAGGTTGGCATATGTGGGAGCCAACCCTCCATCTATGCTGGTGTCCACATACGCCCTTTCTGTCCCCGGAAGGAGGAGGAGCCAACGTGACCAATCCTCCTTTCTCAGGGTAAAGAGCTAGAGAGAAGATGCCCAAGACAGAGAAGAGGAGCGCCTAGGCCGAACCCAGGTGCACAGCACCCTGGTACTCAGTTCGGTCCAGGTCTGAGGACCACAGGCCACCACGGGAGAGAAAGGCCACTTTACAAGGCTGGAGGAGAGGGCGCAGGTGTATTGGGCCAGGGGTGGGCCACGGAGGGCAGTGTGACAGTGGCCTGAGGAGCGGGCTGGGGGCTGGGGGCGAGCAGGTGCTCAGTCCTGCTCCAGCTGCGGCCTGGGCTCCGATGGGGAGGGTGGGAGATCACCACACCCCCGCGCTTCCTGCTGGGGCACTGCTCCTGAAAGGGGATCCGAGCCCTCGATAAGGCTCGAGGCAGGTCCTTAGGAAACAATGGGTGGCTTGATGAGACCTGCTCTGTGATACTCCTGAGAAGGGAGAAGCCCCTGTAGCCAGTCCCCACTGGAAAGGAAATTGGGGGTTTCCGTGGCAACCAGCTTCCTGGGCACAAAGACTCGTCTGTCTGCTGGGAAGGCAGCTGAGGTGTCTCCCCTGCAGCAGCCTTTGCTCTGGGGAGCGGGGACATGGAGGGAGGGATGCGGGGGACCCACAGGGGCCAAGGGCCCCGGTGCTTCTTAAAGAGCTGACAGTCACGGGGCCATGGCACTAAGTGCGTGATCTGGGCAGCAGGGAGGCAGCAGGTGGTGGCACTACAGACAGCTGGAGGTGGAGGGGTCAGAGGTTAAACAGTTTATTATGTACAAGTATAAAGTGAGACTAGAAACAGGCAGGGGCGAGCCAGGAGACACCTCCCACTCAGTCTGTGATGATGAGCTCGTCCACCCCCCAGTCTTCATAGCTCCCATCGGGCAGGTAGCGGCGAATGATGATGGGGATCTTCCGGGCCCTATGTGGGCAGAAGTCAATGCGTGAGGGCTGCATCTTAGCAATGCCCGCCCCTCTCCCCCTCTTGGAGCAGGGACTCACTTGAGCTCCTTCATGGCGATGAGCAGAGGATCTGTCTCCCCCTCCAGCTCCACCATCACCGGGGCGCACATCCTGCGGGCACAGGGAATGTGTGGGAGAAGACTCGGCACCCGGGGCAGGGCTGGCGTCCTAGTGCTCACCGAGCAAGGTCTCCTGCTGTCTGCCACAGACCCACTCAGCGCACACAGATCTAAACGGGGAGCCAGCAAGCTGGATTTCAACTGTGCCTCCCAAGACAGGTCACCGACCTCTCCAAATCTCAGTATTCCCATTTGAAAATCAAGAAAACACAATGCCTCGCCTTGACGATGATGCTAAAATCCCACTGCCCGATAAGAGAGTCATGAGGTGCTGTCTGTGGTTGTGAGCTCTGTAAAACATGATCTCCTGTGAGTACTACTTTCATTTCCCTGTTACTGGTGAGAAAACAGAAGCACAGAGAGGCTGGTGACTTGCCCAAGATCACACAGCCGATAAGTGGCACAGCCAAGACATGAACCCCACATGCCCCTAACTACTGTGCTCTCACATTTGCTATGCAGTAAGCTACAGATGTATAAACTTGGATCTATAAACTAAAGAGAGGTGCTATGAACGGAACCAGCTAAGCTTTCATCACTAGGCCACAGAGCAGTCACAAGTCAGCTCCCTGCCACGAACCTTCCCCAGCCTCGACTGCAAACACAGCAGCCATGGCAGAACATCTGGCAGAGGGGCCTCCTAACTGCCCCACAACCACTCCAGCTGCCTGGCTCTCCTTCCCTAGTGTAGCAACAGTCCCTCGGGGTCTCTTCTTCCAGCCCACCCCTCTGCAGCCTCTATGTGAGGCCTACGATGGGAGCTCTTGGCTACTCACGATCCCCCAGGACTTCCCAGCACCATCAGGCCAGATGGTCACCCTGCTAGCACCCTCTCCTGTCCCACATTTCAGGTTCCCCATGCTATGGTGTGAATGGGCTCCCCCAAATTCCCCCAATCTCAAGGTAGGGCCTTTGGGAAGGGATGAGGGTTCGAGAGGCCATGAGGGTGGGCCCCCTTCACAGCAAGACCAGCTCCATAAGAGGAAGGCAGACCTGAGCCTGAGTGCGCATGCTCACTCCGCGTCACCATGTGGGGGCTCTGCCATGTGACACTGCAGCAGGAAGGTGTCCCTGAGGCTGGCGCTCTCAGACTCCAGAACCGTGAGCCCAGTGAACTGAGCCATGTGATCCCGACTCAGATACTTGGTCACAGCCACAGGGCACAGACTATGACACCTGGACATTGCATGGGGCATCCCTTCCGAGTCCTCAGACAGCCCCTCCTCTCCAGACAAGCCTGGAGAAGGCTTCAGTGTGTGCACCATGGAAATCAATTGCTGCAAGCCCCACACCCGACTCACCCGCATCTGCTTTTCTTGGTGCCAATTTCACCAGGGATCGTCCACAAGAGGCCATGAGCTCTGGGTGGCCCAGGCCCTCTCGCAACACCTAGCCCACAGCAGAGGCTCCAGGCCCAAGCAGGGAATGCCAATTCTAGGCCACCTCCTCCAGGAAGCCAGCCTTGGTTATTTCACCTCAAGTTTCACAAGGGATCCGAATTACTACAGGATGTGAACATCCAGGCCCCAGAAGTCTTTCTCCAGCTCCTCTGAACAGAATCTCTCATGAAGGGGCCTGAGCATCTGTCTCTGCATCGCTGCTCAGATGATTCTGATCATCAGCCAGTCTGAGAGACACCACTTATGAATTTTCTAATTCTATTTTTTCACCATTTATGAATTTTCTTACTAAATATTCTGATTTGGATTACTCTCAAAAGCCTGAATATTTCCCAAGGGTGAGGAGGCTAAGTGTTTAACTTCCCCTGTGTCCTCTCTCTAAGTATTTATGTTCCCAGGGCTGGGAGTGTAGCTCACTGGCAGATCACACGTTTTTGCATGTGTAAGGCCCTGGGCTTGAACCTCAGGGCAAGATAAAAAAAATGAAATAACTGTCGGCCAAGTATAAAGCTTTAAACATGGCAAGATGCTTACTCTGATGTGCCTATGCCTTCCTTCCTTCAAGGTATGAATAACTCAAGGTCACTAATTCGCCCACACCTACCGTGTTTACAGAATTAGTAAAGCACAGGCGCAGGCTGAGTACATGAACATGTCCTAGTCAGTCAGGAAGTAGGTTATAACAAGCACCTCAGCCACCAGATGGTGCTAGGAACCAGATGGAAACCTCAAAACCTAGCCAAGAATGTTTAAGCATGGCATGGTGGCATAAACCTGCAATCCCAGACTCAGGAGGCTAAAGCAGGGGATTGCCATGAGTTTGAGGGCAGCCTGGGCTACAAAATGAGTTCATGACTAGTCTGAACTACATAGTGAGATCCTGTCTGAAAAAAAAGAAAAACCCACCAATCTGAACCTGTCCCTCCAGCACTGGTGACATTTTTCAGCACTGCCCCAAGATATGCTCCCATCATAAACCATATTCCCTGCCTGGTGCCTGGGATATCCACAAAACCACCTCCCTTTGTCCTACAGGAATCCTCACCCCTCCCTATGACCCCTCTCTTTTTGGGATCTTTGTAAAGCGCCACATCTCTGCCTTGGATCCCGGATAATTGTGCACAGGTCCCTATGTCCTGAAATAAAATGTCAGGAGCAGGGAGGTGAGGTTTCTGCATCCCTGACAGGCACCAGCACAGCACCTCCATGCTGGGAGAAGCCTGACTTACACATAAAGAATGAGTTCAGGAATGAGTCTTGCCAGTGGGCATTTTCAGCCAGCTGAGCATGCGCTGTGGTTCGCTCTGCACCTGGGCTACCACGTACAGTAACCGTGAGCCACGTGTACCTGCTAACGTGTACCTGCTAAGAACTGAAATGCAGCCAGTGAAGCAGAAACAGAATTTTTATTGACTATTGCAGTAATGGAGAATGGACCCAGGGCCTCACTCACACCAGGGAAGTGCTCTACCACTGATCTACATCCCTAGTTCTTTTTACTTTACAAAAGATAGAGTCTCACTAAGTTACCCAGACTAGGCTCAACGTTGTGATCCTCCTGCTTCCGACTCCTGAGCAGCTAGACTTACAGGCGTGCACCACCGCACCCAGCTGTTATTCTGCTTAATTTAAATAGCTACATGGAGCTGGTGATTACAAGTGATGGTGCAGGCCTAGAGGCTCCTGACCCAATGTGGCTCTAATTTCACCCAGAAAAGCCAGGAGCACACCTAGGCCAGCGGAAAGTTTACTGCTGAGGAATGGGGGCAAACAGTGCTGCCCATCCATGCGGCCTTTTCCAAGGCAGAAAGGACCCAAGGTCCACCCCAGGGACCAGAGGAGCATCCAGTATTGTAAACACGTGGTACAGCAGTGCCACTGCCCCCCAGCACATCTGGCCCGCTTTTCTTTCCACATGAATCCCCTATTCACTTCTTAGCCACCCCTCTTCTAGACGTCCTCCCTTTCCCGTATGGGACTAGAGGGGCCCCTTTCCTCAGGCTCCTGGACCCACTGAAGAATCTCCCACAGGGATACATGAACACCCCTGCCTCTGTCCTCCCTCCTTCCTGGAAAAGGAGGCATCAGCCTGGCCTCCTCGAAAGGCCTGCGGGAGGCCCGACTACAGAGGGCCTCGGTCTGCTCCCCTCCTCAGCCTGCACTGCCTGTGCTAACAGGTAACAGTAGTCACCAGTCTGTCTCCCGTCTGTCTCTTTTGGGGTTTTACTCTTCTGAACTTAAGCAAAAAGGAAAGGCTGCTAATTTCTCATTCACCAGGAGCCCACCACTGCTTGGGCTTTCACAATGGGGTGCACCCTCCCCACCCCACTAGACTGGCGTTTCTTTCACATCGATAACTAGCTTTGGGCCAGGCAAGGGAGTGCATACCTCAACCCCCACCCCACCCCTCAGTGGAAAGATTACAGATTGGAGGCCAGCCTGGGCTACACGGCGCACTCAAGGCCGGCCTGGATTACACAGGAAGACCCTGTCTCAAAACACCACTGTGGCAGGAGGATAACAAATTTGAGGCCAACCTGAGCTACAAATAGTGACTCTGTCTTTAAAAACAAAACAAAAAAACAGACACAAACAGCACATGCCTATAATCCCAGCACCTCAGGAGACTGAGGCAGGAGGATTTCAGGTTTCAGCCTGAGTGACTTAGCAAGACCTGTCTCAAAAAATAAAAAGAAGGGCTGGGATATAGCTCTGTGTGAAGGCCCTAGGTTCACTCTCCATTACCACAAAAACAAAACAAAACCAGCTTTGGCCTGCTAAGAGCAGCCTCTTGACTATCAGCACACACAGGCCAGGGCTCTCTAATTTCACACTCCTGTTTTACTTCACCAACATGATTGGCAATCACCTAGTTCTATTTTTATTACTATTTTCCCCTGTATTGTTATTTGATTTCTTAGCTCCTTTTTCCATCCTATTTCTCCTACCAGATCACAGGCTCCCTAAGGGCCAGGGTCCAGCACAGTGCCTGGCCCACAGAGACAGCACCACCTCTGTTCAGATGTTCAAGCAGGAAGGGCCTGCATTCAGGTCCAGGCTGGGCAGGGACAGCAGCTCAGGGCCTCACTGCGGGCTACATGATGAAGGAGACAGCGAGGATTCACACTCACGCAATCTGGAGCGCTCGGGTCCCCAACACGCGGGCTCGCTCATATTTGGTCATGTATGGGGTTGTGATTCGCTTCTGGTTGGCCTGGGGTCGCTCCCCAGAGGGAAGGATCTCCACATTCTCCTGGCCCTCCTGGACACGAGACAAAACAAGGAAAATCTCAAGGGTGTGTTTTTTGGGTGAGTGAGGTAGCGGTGACAATGACAGCCACTGCTACCACCATTAATGCTGGCTGGGTGCCAGGGACGTGGAACCGCTTGCTAACTCCCCACATAATCCCCACAGTAACTCCAGAAGCGGGGATTACGGTCTCCATGCCAGGGGCTTCAAGAGTCACCTAAATGGGCCATGGCCTCGGACCTAACACTGAGAAGAAGAACCATGATCAGGAATCCAGAGCCAGCTGCTCATCCAGAAGAGACAGAAGCCAGGCCTGGAAATGGGACAGTCCCTGAATGCTGGCCCTGTAAGCAGTCTATGAGCAGGGGATGCAGCTCAGTGGCACTGCACCTGCCCAGCAGGTAAAACGTCCTGAGTTTGATCCCCGGTACTCGAGCGGGGGGTGGTCTATGAGCACACCTCAAGAATATCTTAAGCATAAGCATTCCATTTTCAGGTAGAATAACTGAACCAATGGGCCAAGTGGCCAGCAAAACAAGGGTGAAGGTGGGAAGAAAAACATATTCACACATCCAACACTGCTTATTAAGTACCAGTCCTGTGCCAGGACACTGCAGTAAGTGCTGAGACACAAAGCCAGAAATGCTAAAAGTTTGTAATCTCTGAGAAGTCACACCGTTGAGGGGAACTCAGGAGGAAGCAGTCCCAGCACTCAGGAGGCTGAGGCAGGAAGACTGCTGTGAGTTCAGGGCCAGCCTAGGTTACATGGTAAGTTCAAGGCCACCCTCAACTACATAGTGAGATCTTGTCTCAAAACAAACAACACAAATAAAAGAAAAAAGAGAAGTTGTTAAGACATTGCTAGGTTCACCTAACTCACACTGGGTGTCAGGAAGACTGTCCATAGCCAAGACAAGCTGATCCAGAAGGATGAGCAGGAGCTGTTAAGCCACTGCAGAAAGGGAAGGGCATCCAGGCAGGTGGAGCAGTGTAAAGGCAGAGGTGGAAGAGAATGTGACAGGTTTGGGCAACTAAATGTGGGCTACGATCTCAGCATCACACCACCAAAAACAAACAAACCAAGAAACAGCAAGATGATCAGGTAAGATCACAGAGGAAGCAGACAGCCAGGTCACGGAAGACTTTGTACATGTCCCTGCCATTTACTGAGGAGGGTTCTAAGCAGAAAAGTGACATGGTTTGATGAGACTGACAGGGTCACCCTATAGCCTCTGTTGAGAATATGCTAAAGAGGCGAGGGCAGAAGCAGTGACATCACTTTGGAAGCCTGGTCAGAACTGGTCACAGGGGCAAGTAAGGACAGTGACTGAGGCAGCAGAACAGCAAAGGGAGCAGAGGTGAGGCGGGGTAGCCCGCAGCCCCCGCCAGAAGGTGGCCTATGCATGAGCAGCAATGAGAAGTACGCCAGGCTGAGGCCTGGGGTGGAGAAACAGCAGCAGGGTAGAGCCAGTCTAGGAGGAAAAATCAAAAGAACAGGGATAGGAGAGGGACTAGAAGGTGGAGGAAGCGTCCCACTCAAGCAAGTATGTCAAGATGCCACGCAGAGAAGGAATATAAAAAGAAGGGCTTTGGATTCCCAGCCCAAAATAGTCAAGAATCTTCTAGGAGACATGTAGGGGTCCTCCCTCCAGTCACACAGAACAGGAATTCCTATTTATTCAGGAAGCTGGCAACCCGTCCGGCCAGCTATGCCCTGTCAAACTATTTTCTCAGCCCTCTAAAATACATCTTTCATTGTCTTCTCATCACTTACAATACCAGACCCCCATCCAAGCCAAAGGTCCCTAATTTGTTTCCCACTCTTGCCCCCTCCAATTAACTCTGAAATCCTGAGGCCAGACGTGCTTAAAATGAAAATGGGATCATGCTGCTCCCTGGCTCAAAACCTGTCAGTGGCTTTCTACTGACTTCGACTCTGAAATCCTGCCTCATGTGGGCCCTGCGGACCTCTGCAGCTTTATCACAGGCCAATGTCCCCACACCCCTTATGCAGCCCCATGCAGTAGAGCACTTGACAGGTAATTAAATCAACACATGCTTGCTGAATGAATGAAAATGATGTTTCACCTATCAGCAAACTAACTTGCCTGAAAGCCATGGTCTGTGGACCAGGAGGACAATGCCCTTCAGGCCCACCTTACAGGGCTGCTCTGCGACCCAGGGCTGAAAAACTAATCACTCTAACTGGGATGCTTATGGCAGGATCCAGACCTTACATAAGAGGCAGCAACAATTGGGTAATTATCCACTGCCTTGCTTCTCAGCCCCCCAGCTATGGAGTAGGAGCCTCAGGCTCGTCTGAGCCACTTTCTTGCTGCTGAGACAAAATACCCAACACTTGCAACTTAAAGGAGGGAGAGTTTTATTCTGGCTCATATTTCAGTCCATAGTCAGCTGGCTCCAAGGCAGGATGGCATGGCAGAGGGACTGTTCATAACACAGCAGCAAGGAATCCTAGATGGAGACCAAGGGAGGGGCCGGGGAGGGAGATAAACCCAGCCACATCCCTGGGACCACCCCACCCAACCAGACAGCCAGTCAGCCATAAACCCCACAATCCAACCACCTTCCAAAAGCTCCACCTACCAATGAATGAGGTTCTTGGAGAACACCTAGATATAAACCCTAACAGGCTGAATACTGACCTCCTCGGCATTTTCCAAGTCATCTAGTCCTTCATCCTCCTCCACATCATCAAAGTCATCACCGTCAAAACTGCACGGAAGAGAACAGTTAATCACCTGCTAGAATCAAAGAGGCAGAGCTCTGTGTGTTAGCTGATATCGAAGCACTCGATAAGTATCTACTTAATAGCCAGGCGTGTGCCTGTGATCCCAGGACTCAGGAGGCTGAGGCAGGAGTTCCAGGATAGACTGGGCTGCTTAATAAGACCCTGTGTCATAAGCAAAAACAAACAAAACCTTACTTTGGGGCTAGGAATGTAGCTCAATGGCAGAGCATGTGCTTAGCATGCAGGAGGCTCTGGTTCAGTCCCCAGCACCCAAAGGGGGAAAAAAAAAGGCTTCACTTCTCTTTCCCCTCCCCCCTCCCCCAGCAGCCCTAATTCCATTCTCCCTTTTGCAGCAAAATTTCTGAAAAAGGTAGGTATAGCAGCACATGCATGTAATCCCAGTAGTCTAGGAGACTGAAGCAAGGTCTCAAATTCAAGCCCAGCCTAGCTAGGCAATGTAGCAAGTCCCTGTTTCAAAAAATAAAAAGGGTTGAGATGTAGCTCAGTGTAAAGGCCCTGAGTTCAATCCCAAGTACAAAAAAAAAAAAAGTGAAAGAGCTATCCAACCTCACCTCACTGTCTCCAACTCCTCTCTTCCCATTCATAACCTCACTCTAAAAAGACTTTCACCCTCACAGCTCCATCAAAAGCACTTTTCAAATTCATTAATCATCTTCACGTTCTAATCCAGCGGGTAATTCTCTCCTTCAACTTGATCAGCGGGCACACTAGGCCACTCCTTCCTTCCTTCCTTCCTTCCTTCCTAGGAAGTACTCTCCTCACTGGACTCCAGGAAGTGGCTGTTGGGTAGTCCCCTCTCCTTTTTCTCTCCCTCTCTCTGAGAGACTCTCCTCTTTCCCTCAAGCAGGGAAGGCTCAGTCGTACATCTCTGCTGGCACTCTGGGGGTATCCCTTGGTTTGAAGTAACACACTTAATGCTAAGGTTTCCTACATTTTTATCTTCGGGATCGATTTCTCCACTGACTCCACCCACACATTCAACCCATCATGAAATCTTTTTGGCTCTACCTTTAAAATATATCCATGCCAGGCATGGGGCGCATGCATGTAATCCCAGCATTCACAAAGCTGAGGCAGGAGGATCACTGTGAGTTCAAGACCAGCCTAGGCTACACAGTGAGTTTCAGGTCAGTCTCAACTACAGAGTGCGACCCTGACTCAAAAAAACAAAAAGACAGCCAGGCGTGGTGGTGCACACCTGTAATCCCAGCACTCGGGAGACTGAGGCAGGAGGATCGCTATGAGTTCGAGACCAGCCTGGGCTACATAGTGAGTTCCAGGTCAGTCTCAACTACATAGTGAGACCCTATCTCAAAAAACAAAACAAAACTGGGCCAGGGATTTAGCTCAGCGGTTCGGTGGCCTGCCTTGCAAGCACAAGGACCCGAGTTCAATCCCCGGTACCAAAAACAAAAACCAAAAAAACCCAAAAAAAAACCAAAACAAAAAACAAAAAAAAAACCAACAAAACAAAAACAAAATACATAACAAAAATCCAGAATTCCAAACCATTTCTTACCACCTCTACTACTATCACCCTAGTGCAAACCCCTAACTTCTCTAGAACCCCAGATTTTACAACCCGGGGAAGCCGCACAAGATCGGCCTCTGGATTACCTCCTACCTCCCCCTTCCAACACTACTAAACTCACACGACCCCGTATGTATGACTCTCAATACAGTATCCCCATTATCCGACACAGAGCCCGGCTCAGTGCAAAGACACCTTTTTCGCTGACCCACTCTAAAACTATTTTTTTTTAATTTGTCCCGGGGATCGAACTCGGGTCCTTGCGCTTGCGAAGCAGGCGGCGGAACCACTGAACTACATCCCCGGCCCGCTGACGTGCTCTAGACTCTCGGACCTGCGTCTTTCTGTGTCCAACCTTTGTCTAGGTCTACTCTCCTAGGTCCCGCTCTTCCTTTCCGTTCCGCCGGTTCCCTTAATACCCAACTCTCCTCACTCGCCTCATCGGAGGCTCTTGAAAAAGCCACTCTGCGGGCGTACTCACTTGTCCTCGTTGTCTGACATGATACCCTGGCAGCAGCCACGCCACTAGAGTCACTCGCAGACCCCGCAAACTGCGCGCCTCTAGCTCAAGCACCACCACACGTACCCTGCGCCTGCGCTGTGACCCTGAGGCAATCACTTCCGGGAAGCCCCTAGCGCGGCAAGGTGCGCCTGCGCAGAGAGGCGGTGTTTGTTGCCCTGGTAACCAGAGCCGCTAGCAGCACGCGCTAGTGTCTCGGATCCCACGTTATCTCCTCCAGATACGGGCACTCTGAGTAAGGAGGGTGCGTCGAATCGAGGTCTTTAGGGTGAGGTTTCAGTGTTGTGTGACTGAGGCTGTTTTAAAGTTTTCCTTTCCCAGGGGGAACTCCACAGGCACCGAGAGAGACAAGAGGTGTGCCATTTCGTTATTCCCTCCTAGAGCTCTCCAATGGCTTCGAAGGAAAGGGTGGAGGCAGTGACCAAAGGAACAGGGTTTGGGCGCTGCCCCCAGCTGGCCGCTTACACGCCAGAAACCTGCAAGCTGCTCAAAGGTCAGTAGGGCAGAGGACTCCGGGTGTAGAGGACACAGGAGAGCAGTGGCGATAACAGCCTGTGTAACTCGGGTACTATCACTACAAGGGGCCAAAAGTCAAAAAGCTAAGAATTTTGGATTAGTTGAATCTTACTTTTTTTTTTTTTTTTTTTTTTTTGTACCAGGGATCAAACTCGGGACCTTGCACGTGTGAGGCAGGTGTGGTGCCACTGAGCTAAATCCCTGGCACCATAACTCCTACTTTTTTGTTTTTGTTTTGAGACAAGTTTCCACTCTGTAGTCCCAGCTGATCTCAAACTTGGTATCCTCCTGCCTCAGGCTCCCTAGTGCTGGGGTCACAGGTGTGTGCTAGGGTCCAACTTCCTGTGCATCCTTTACATTTGAGTGTCAGCATTCCCAGACAACATGTATCTCCTGCTCACCACCACCACAGAGGATCAGGCTGGCACTCACACTGCCCAGTACATCTCTCTTCACTGGGCACAGCACCAGGTACAGTCAGGTTCTTTGTGTCCCATCTGTCCTCTAGGTAGTGGATTCCATCAGGCAGGACTGGGACTGTTTCTACTCAGCTGTAGCTTCCACCTTGGCACATGAATGAATATTCATTTACCCAACAAAAAAATGTTTAAATCTACCATGTACTTTGGGCACTGATTTAGGTGCTGGGCATACAGGAATGGAAAAGAAACAGGAAAAAAAAACTGCAAAAAGTACTGCTGTTATAGAGCTAATATTAGAGTAAGAAGGTCCCAATAAAATAAAATATGTAGGACTGGGGTATAGCTCAGTGGTAGGGGATATGCTAAACATGCGTGAGAACCTAGGTTCAATCTCCAGCACCACACATGCCAAAAAAAAGTCTTTTTAAAAATGTAGCCTTAGGGCCGGGGATTTGGCTCAGTGGTTCCGCCATCTGTACCCTTAGCTTGGCGTGGTGGTGCACACCTGTAATCCCAGCACTGGGAAGGCTGAAGCAGGAGGATCGCTGTGAGTTCGAGACCAGCCTGGGCTACACAGTGAGTTCCAGGTCAGTCTCAACTACATAGTGAGACCCTGTCTCAAAAAAACCAAAATAATTAATTAGTTAATTAAATAATGTAGCTTTATGTAAAACTTCACAACAGACCTACCTTCAGGAGTCTGAGGCAAGAGCATCACTTAAGCCTGCCTGGGCAATAGGGCAAGATCCTATCTCAAAACAAAACAAAAAAACAAGTTTAGGTGAAGACATGCTACAGAAAAAGTGAAGGAGGACAGAGGAAGTGCTCAGTGCAGAACGGGGCTAGCAGGTGATATAATCTGAAATTTCACCAGGGGGAGATGCAGGTCCCACTACAGTTCAGAAAACCTCACGGAAGTGCTTTATCTTGCAGCAATGATGAAGGAATCAAAACTGACTAACTTCCAACAGCGCCACATCATGGACATCATAACAAGTAAGAGGCAGCAGGTCAGCAGAGGCTCCCTGGGCAGAGGAACCTGGGCCAGTTTTTATGCTCTTCCATGTTAAGGCGGGGAGGACATCATTTTAAAAGACTGGCCAAAAAGTGAGGTGTACCAAGTATTTTTGGCCTTTAGACCTTGAGATGCCTGTGTTTTGTCTGATCTGGACCCTGGCACAGTAAGCCTTCGGCAGTCAGGCTCTGGCTGACTTTCCTGAGGAATCTTGGCCCAGTCAAGACTCCCCCAGGCTAGTCCCAACCTTGTGGTGCTTGTACTCTGTCCCTCCCTGACATAAACCTATGAGCCCTCCAAAGGGAACATGTATGCGTCTTATTCAGTTTTATTCATTCATAGCTTAGCCCTTAGAAACAAGGTGACTGGCTAAACTCCAACTCAAGACACACATGCAGTGCCACTGAGCTAAATCCCTGGCAAAAACTTTTTTTGAGACAGTGTCTCACTAAATTGCCCAGACTGGGGTCAAACTTTCGATCCTCCTGCCTCAGCCTCCTAGTGGGCTGGGATTGTAGGCATGTGCCAACATACCCAGCAGATAGTGCCTTCTCTAAGGAAAGTGTGCCTACCAGGAGGGCTTCTGACCTACCACAGAGGTGGACTGGGGAGTCACGGGCCAACATGAGCACTGCCTGTCCACTAGCCAGGCCAGTGTAGGGTAAGATCTCCCACACTGTGGACAGGAACAACTCAGGCCACCAAAGATTGGTGCCATTACACATTTGAATCCTTTAACTCAGTTTCTGTACCCAGAAATCTAATAATGTGGTGCCTTCTGTCGCTTAACCCCAGAGACCCCCCCCACACTAAAACAGTGTCTGACTCACTAACCCGCACTGGAGCAGGTGCTTAATCCTGGAAGAATGACAGATAAGCAGGACATGATGGAGTAAGCCTGTGATCCCAGTACTCGGAAGGCTGAGATCGGAGAAGCTGTGGCTGAGTTCGAGGCCAGCCCAGGCTGCGGGGTGAATTCTAGACCAGCCTGAACCACACAGGGCCTGAGGCCAGGGGGGTTAGACCTATGGGAGTAAAGGAAAAGAAAGCTTGCTTTTTAAAAAGCCGTGCCCGGGCCTTGGGGTGGTCTGCCTTCCTCTCCTGCAGCTCCCACCCTCCTCTTACCCCGTCCGTCAGCTCCACTGAGGTTGGCTCGGAGGCTGTCACGAGCCGCGGGCCCCCCAGCTCACCGCATACCCAGGCTCTTCCCTGAGACCGGGCAAAGGCAGAGGCAGGACTGGGAGGACGGAGGAGGCCCATTCTGCGGAGCCCCGAGTCTCCAGGGAAGAGAGGGAAAGGGATGCAGGGCTCCAGATGGAGTGTCAGAGGGGCAGGCGGGTAGAAAAATGGCGGCTGCCCCCTCGGAACACACACCTTGGGGTCGTCTTCCTCTTCCATCCCCATCTGCTTGGCCTTCGCACCTGACCCGACCCCCTCGCCCCATCTTGTCAGTCACCACTGTGGCCCAGGGCCCCAGCGTCACTCCTGAAGGCGGCTCCCTGCCCTCCAGCCTGTATGCAGGGCTCACTCCTCCACCCGCCAGCAGCCTCTGTGACCTCTGCCCTTGCTCCCCTATTCACTCCACCTGAGCCAGAGCCTCCTGGGCCTCCTGTTCCTTAGGCGCCTGGGCACACTCTGCCTCCTGCCTCCACTCCGGCTGTTCCCTCTGCCCAGAACACCCTTCCCCAAGGTATCTGCAGAACCAGCCTCCCAGACATGCTCTGCTCTTTTTTTTTCCAATGTTCCCTTCTTCATGAGGCCTCTCTGGTCATCCTTTCAAACTGATAGTTCCAGCCAGGAGAGGTGCCCCACACCTGTAATCCCAACACTGGGGATGCTGAGGCAGGAGGATCGCTTCAAGTTCCAGGACATCCTAGGCTACATAGTGAGATCAAGGCCAGCCTGAACTACATAGTGAGACCCTGTCTCAAACAAAAACTGTAAGTCCCACTGGGACATACCAGTGACCCTATAACTGACTCTGTGTCACCCTGTTGTCATTCATACCCCTGCGACCTAAGCTCCAGCAAGGCCAGACTTCACCTCACTTCCCAGTCCCTCCATTGGCCAGGGCCCGGTTCACCGGAGACGCTGAATCCATGTTTGATGAACGGATTTGTAGATGGCTGGCGAGGTAGAAAGGACTGGCTCAGAACAGTGGGTGGGACCTGCTCCACCTCTGGCCTGAGGGGCAGAGGAGAGAAGGGATAGGAGTGGGCTCACTTCATGGCCTGGAAAGGGGCCGCAGCAGGACGACGGGTGTCTGTTACACCCGAACTGTCCCTCCCAAACCACGGGTCAAGCAGGAGGAAAACAGAAACAAGCACAATTGCAAAGGCTTGATGTACAAGAACATTTATTGCCACGTTGTTGGAAGTAGTAGGAAAAAAAAAAACTGATGGAAAAATCTGGAAACAACCTGGTTCTGAAACTAGGAGAGTAGTTGAATAAATAACATAACCATTCTAACCGGTACATAGCTATAAAAAATAAGTTATATGTAAACAGGTTCTTTTTTGGAAAACTATCCATGATAAATTGAGTGAAAAGGGTCAGTTACTATGAAGTGATATGATCCAGTGTTTTGAAAAAGTCAGCTTTGTGTGCACATAAAAAACATGCACATTTATTGTGAAAAAGGCAGATCACCAAATTACCATTCCTCGTTGCAGAGGGTGGGCTTAGCGGGGGACAGGAAGACTCTCCTGTACCATTTGACTTGTAACAAGTTGGCATCACCTTTATTTGGAAGGAAAAAAAAGAGCCAAACATGGTGGCACACACCTGTAATCCCAGCACCCAGGAGGCTGAGGCAGGAGGATCGCTGTGAGTTCAAGGCCAGCCTGTGCTACACAGTGAGTTCAAGGCCAGCCTAAACTACATAGCGAGACCCTGTCTCAAACAACAAACAAAGCCAGGCAGGTCCTCCCACCGACCTTCTCTCCCTAGAAGGAGACCCTCTGCCCCTACAGTGCAGCCCAACATCAAGCCAGTCGGCCTCACCTTCCAGGCAGCCAGCCTCAGCCATCTACCTGCCTCCTATCCTCACAGCCCGCTCCCACCTCCGACCAGCCAGCCTGTGTCAGGCCAACGGGGCCTACAGCCGTGAGCAGTTCAAGCCTCAAGCCACCAGTAAGTGACAGAGTGACAGAGCCTGGGCTAGTGGCTTCCTGTCTTCCCAGTACAGGGGAAATGGGCAACAGGCAACCCCCAAGGCAGATGGGCAGGTATCTAACCAGCTTCTCCTGCCTTTACACTTTTGAGCCTGGGCCTGTGTTAGCTCAGGGATATTCAGGGAAACCAGGAAGGCTGGCCTCTGTTGTTCTGGTTTTTCTCTAACTTTATTTCCTGATTAACTGGATGCCACTAAGGCAAGTCAGGTTTCTTTGCCACTGTCCTCTCACCGTCTGCTGGCCCCTTGAGGCAGATTCCTCTGCTCTCCAGCCCACATCCCAGAGCCCTCTTCCCCACTTCCTCCCTGGCATCCGCCGTGACTTTTGCCCCGACTCTGCCAAGATGTCCTGCAGTTCCTGGCACACAGGCTGCCACCACTGGGACCCCAGGTCCCTGAGTTTTCTTAGCCTTTTCCTGCACCAAGGTTTGTGCATGGCTTTCAGCTCGCCCTTCCTCGCTTCTTTCCACCACTTCCTATCATCTTAGCATGACAAGCTCGGGCACGCCCAGGGAGAAGCTGCAGTCCACGAGCCCTCTCCCCACGACCCAGAAACCCCGTAGCACACCTGTCTAGAAGCAGAGATTCGGGCACTCTTCACTGTCTAACAGGGCCATTTCTGGGCCTCGCAGGAGATCTGGAGAAGGAGAAACGGAGACTCCAAAATATCTTTGCCACTGGGAAGGATCCAGAGGAACGGAAAGGAAAGGGGGCCCCTGTGCAGCAAGAGAAGCCGGCCCCCGAGCTGGACCGATTTGAAGAACGTGAGCTGTGTGTTCGTGTGAACTTGATGGGGCCAACATGAGAAAAAGTGTCCACATCAAACACTGCCCCCCTCAAGGAGCCTGGGGTCCCAGTGTCCCTGCACTGATATCCCTTCTCCTCTGTCCAGTGGTGAGGGAAATCCAGGAGAGGAAGGAATTCCTGGCTGCCATGGAGGCCCTGGGACAGGGGAGGCAATACCAAGGGATCATCCTCACCGAGATCTCTCAGGTAGGATGAAAGAAACCAAGTGAGGTTTCACTGCTGCTCTCTGCAGGGAAGCGGGGAAGGGGTGGGCCGGCCATGAGTGCAGAGCACAGACTGGAGGTGAACCACAGACCACAGTGGCTAAAGTCACACGGGGTCTCAAGCTCTGGCCAGAATCACAGGGGCTCCTCCAGGTCCTCCCGACACCTGCTTCCCCTGATCTCTTTGGCAGAAAATACGGGAAATGGAAGACATTGACCACAAGAGGAGTGAGGCACTTAGGAAGACCCTGGCCACCACCTAGAGATGGGCAGGGCAGCCCACTCTGGATGGCCGGAGCCCTCCCCTTTGCCAGGCCGGGCCATCCTCACGTCAGCCCACCCATGTCGATGGTGCCCAACACTGCCCCGCCTGACAGCATGGGGCACACGGTGCCCCAGACACCACCTGGTATGTCAGGGCCACTGCTGCCGGAGCCTCTGAGCCACCCACAGTTACAGGCACAGACTTGAAGTCCTTTCTCAGTGACGGCACGGCCCAGCTCTCACCGCTGTGGACACGGGTCACAGGCATCCAGCAGCTCTCTACCACCTCCAGCCTCTGCATGTCCTGCTTGTTTCATTTCTGAACACAGGAGTGAAGAGGAAGTCTTCTTCCACCTGTCTTAGGACCTATTTCAGGTCTTACAACCTTGGGCAAATGTTTAACTACAATTAATTGGCCAATAAAACATATTTAACTTGGGTCATTCCGCACACTACCTTGGTTTCAGAGGGATATTTGCTCAAAGAGTTAGGATTTGTAGAGCATGTCACTTCTCTGTCTTTTGGCTAAGATCCAGTGTATATTTTGTGGAGTGCAGATGGTTTCCAGCTCCCCTTTTACATATTCAAGAGGAAATGGGAAGGGACACCCATAAGACATCCCTAGGCAGCTTGCTGTGAGAGTACCAAGCTCAGTTAAGTAAGGCTCGCCAGATACAGCAACCAGGGCATTTAAACAGCAAGCTGCCTCTGAGCCTCAAGTTAGCACTCTGTCTCGCACTAAAGGCAGGCCACAGGATGAAGCAGAATGGGAGGAATCGACGCTGAAGGGGCCCTGGCTCTGCAGGCCCAGCGCCGAATTGTGTTTTGTGACCCTGAATAAAACCCAGAGCCTCAGCTGTAGTTCGTGCACCTGTGAGCCCCTGACTTCAACCGAGCAGTGACCTTATCCCACTCCTGCCCCCCACTCGGTATGCAGGACATCAGGCCCTCTGTTCCCTCGGGCTCTTGACACTCACCCGCCCTACCCTCTCCAGTAGCCTGTCATTTCTCCTGTTGTCATAAATCAAAATATTTTGGAACTATCACTGACCCTGCCGGCTGTCTCCCACTGCGATCACATGGCTCCCTCGGGTCACGTGACCTGTGTTTTGGCTTGCAGAATAAACAGGGCTGTGCAGCAGCCAACACATGAGAAGCCTGTGTCACGTTCCCACAGGGACCTGAGGACCAAGGCGGCAACATGACAGGACACATCCTCTACCTCAAAGCCCATCACGTGTCCAGAGGCAGCAAACTGGAGAACACCAGGACAAATCCAGAGTAGGTGCTCAACATTTAAAAATGACACACCACATACGAATCTGGATTCCCAGTCTCTTTTTGAAAAATGGAATGGATCTGGTAACCCTGGGCCCACACTGATGACCACAAGTGACCGATGACTTAAGTAAGGGCAGCCACCCTTGCAGTGTGGGACGCTGACACAGCCATCTGAGCCCAGCATGGCCAAGACCCTCCTGGGAAACCAGAGATGCCAGCCAGAAGGCGTGGCTGTGGCCCGAGAACTGTCGTCTCCCTTTTATTGTTGGTGAGGAATCCTCAAGTTAATACAGTGCGATCTCTTCCCCCAGGTGCACGGAGAAGGGGCCTGCAGTGCCCGGGGAGAGCTTATCGAACAGTGCTTTGACCAAGAGCTGCCAGGCACATTCCCTGGGCAAAAGTGGTAACCCCGTCGCTCGGCCTCTTCCACGGCCACCTAGTGGGTAGGTGGCCATCAGTCCTCTGGTGAGGAGTCAAGGAGGGAAGACAACAGGAGACAGCCTAGCAAATGGATGACCACAAATGGAAACGAGCCCCAGCCCCAGGTGTGGCTGGGGAGGAAAGCCTAACGAGGGGTCAGACTAGTTAGGGGTCACACTTACTAAAGAACCAGAGTAGCACCTACCTGAAGCACACCTCCCTAGGCTGAGGGGCGGGACTAGAGCTCTGACTAGAGCTGCCCCATAAAAGCCCTTTCCAGGGGACTCAGCATGGGACAGCAAATGGGGACACCCACGGGCCCTGGCACAGCCACCAGGACCCTGTGTGGTGGGAAGCAAGGCTTTCTAGAAGAGGGGTGATGAGGGAGAAACCTGGATCTTGGAGGGAGGCAGTGGGGGGTTTTCCCCGCCAGGCCCGGTCACGTGACACAGCACAGGCCCACTCAGCAACCAGCTGAAACCCACCTGCAGACTTCATAAATAGAGCGCCTGAGTGAGGGCACATGAGATTCAGGGCACCCGCACTGGACAGGAGGCAGAGACTCAGGGTCCCAGCTGGGCAGGAGGAAGCCGGTCAGGCAGCCCTGCTGCTGGCCAGCCATGAGAAGCAGGAGCCCTGGGCCAGGGACCTGCAGAGGACACTGGGTGTCAGACAATCCTGGCCAGTGTGTTCATCAGGACAGCGGCCAAGGAGCTTCCCCGCCACAGAAAAGGCCAGGCCGGCAGGACGAGAGGCACATGGGCTCGGCTACCACCCTCCCTGGCCTCTGGCCCCTGCTGGCTCTTCGAGTCTGTTGAGGCATCTGGAGATGTCAGAACTGGACTGGGCAGGGCTGAGTCATAGCTGTCTGAGTACAGGGAAGAGGGAAGAAAACTCTGGCCCAGAGCAGCCGGAGGACCCTGAGAAGGCAGAGGTCACCCAGAGGCTCCCTGCCCTGGCAGCAAGGTGCTCCCCTGACCTACAAGGGCCCAGGAGGGGCAGTCCTGGTGGCTTCCCTGGCTGTCAGCTCTTGTCCCCAGGGGACTTGCTCTTGGTGTCTCGCTTATTTCCCAGCATCTTCAGCATCTTCATGGTCTTGAATTTCCCCTTCTTCTTGCCCTCAGGTTCAGCCTCCTTCTGGAACTCTGCAGCAGAGGAAGGGGCACTTGACCAGGTGGGGAAAGGGACTCCTCCCGGGCAGCCCGGGGGTCAGTGATCTGTGTCACTGAGCAGCTTCGTGGACAGTGGGGACTTGGCCCAGCCACCTGCCTTCTGTGGGAGATCTCGGACAAGTCGCTTCACCCCTAGGGGATGGGGACCTCTCCTAGTGTTCTGGCAGGAGACACGCATCTGTGTGACTCCTGATATGTGACGCACTTAACACTCAGGCTCACTTTACCTAGACTGTGGCTCACGGCCCTGTGGGCCCCAACACAGACCCTGACCATCAGAGCCAGAGGGAACTCAGAAGTCATCTGTCAGAGCCCCCAATTTTCCCACCAAGGAAAATGCAGGTCTTTGAAATGAGCTGATCCCAGCTGAGCTTTCAGTAGGCACCAGGCACGGTCTAAGGGCACTACAGAGGCCGTCTCTATAATCAGTGCACACAGGGGAGGGGATACCCCCATCACTCCACTCTGCAGACACAAGAGTGAGAGAGCTGCACATCACTCAGCCCATGTGCCAAGCTGGGACAAGAATCCAAGCTGCCTGACTCCAGCCTGAGTGGAGACACCCACAGGGCCAGAGTTGCTGGTGGAAACTAAGTCAAGCCAGTGCTCTGTAGCTGATCCAGGCACATCTGACCCTAAGCAGGCACTGTCGTCATGACCCACAGACCCACCCCAGCCAGCCTGCATGTCTCGTGAGGAACTGGCCATAAGCCCAGCAAACCCACCCTGGAAACCACATCCTGTGGGTACCTGGGCATTCCACGGCCACCATCCAAGGATGAACCAGGGACTTTGCACCCCACACCTCCCATGACAATCGCTGCAGCCCTACATCCGACCTGGCCCTCGACCCCCAGCCCCAGGCTGAAAACTGGAGTTCAAGCGTAACAGCCCAAGCTCCCAAGAGGGGATTCACCTTTCCTCTTGATCATGGCTTCCAACATCTTGTCTTCCTCTTCCTCCCTGGAACAGGAAAGGGAAGCTGAGTGCCCACAGGTAGAAGCTTCCAGCCCCTGAGCCCCACGGGGCCGGCCCAGGGTGTGCTGGGGTCCCTGGCAGCGAGGACAGGTCTGGCCCAGCCTGGGGTGTGGGACCCAGCCACAGTCTGCTGCAGCCCCTCCCCCGCTGTCACCTCTGCCGGTCCTCGTCCAGGCAGTTGACGATGGCATTGCGCTGCTCAATGAGGGTCATGAGCTCCTGCATCAGCACCTTCTCCCGGCTCTTGTCCTCTTCTGTCCAGTCTTTTTCTACCATGGGAGAAAGGCCAGGCCTGAGTGGCAGGAAAACCTCCTTCCTCCCCAGGACGATAGCAGCCACCACCTGAGTGTGGTAGGCAGGCCCTGTGCTCGATACCAAGTACCTGGGAAGGAAGGGCCCTTGGGGGAATGAAGGTCCTTGTAGAAGGGACCAAGGATGTGAAGCTGCCTCTAAAAAACACCGGCAAGGGGGCCGGGATGTAGCTCAGTGGTTCCGCCACCTGCCTCACAAGGAGGACAAGGATGCCCAGAGCTGTTCCGCAGGGGCCACCTATGCCTTGGCCTCTCTTGCCCTCAGCCTGCAGGCTCCCGGGGCTGGGTGCCCCCACTCAGCATCCCCTTCCCGACATCTCCCACACATCCTGCAATCATCACCTGGGGCTCAGCCACTGCCCACACCCCTGACCTCACCTGCGTGCCCCACCCAGCTCTGGGGACAGAGTACGGGGCTTAGAGCCTTAACCCAAGTTCAAATCCTGCTCTGTCACTTCTCAAATCTGGAGACTGGCCACTTCCCCAGTCTACATGTGGGGAAACTGAGGCTCGGGGAAGTTAAATCCTTGACCAGCATCACACAGTGAAGGTGGGGCCAGGATTTGAACTAGGGCAGCCTGACACCAAGAGATGGTGTCTGATGGGTCCCAGCCCTCCTGGGGCCCTATAAACCAGTTTTGCCCTCCAAAAGCAACTTCTGGAACAGGATGACAAGGGGAGCTGGGGAAGCGGCAGGAAGCCCAGGGCTTCCTGGGAGGCAAAGGGCTGTACCCACTCTGGCCACGGGGTGTCACTGTGGGCCCAAGCGGCAGCCTTGCCCCAGGTTCCTTGAGACTCACAGCTGGTGATGGAGGCCAGGGACATTTTGTGGCTTCTCTGGGATCACTACAGCTGCCCAAGCTTCCCCATCAACGGGGAGACCTGACCAGGACCTCAGAGGCAGGAGGGGCTCTGTGTGCAGGGACAGAGTGGCTCCAACACCAAAGGACGCCCCCCTAGCCTCTCCCATCTCCACTTCCTCATCTGAGGTGGTGATGGTGGCCCATGCCCCGGGCTGGCACCACCTCTGAGCCATGAGGAAGGAGTCAGAAGCCCTGACTCCCAGTTCTGACCTTCTTTTTTTTTTCTTGAGGTTTTTTTTTTCTTGAAACAGAATCTCACTACTGTAGTTCAGGCTGGCCTTGAGCTCACCATGTACCCTAAGTGGGCCTTGAATTTGAGGCATGTGCCACCATGCCCAACTCAGCTCTCATGTTCTACTCTGCCATCCCAGCCTGTGACTGCAGTTCACTCCATGCCATTGCCATGTAGGAAGCCACTGAGGCCCAGAGAGGCAAAGAAACCATCAAAAGTCACACAGCAAGGGCTGTCTGATGACATGCCCAGAATAGGGCGGGCTGCCCTTGGGCCTGATATTCACCTAGAGCTCATCATCCTCATCATGGACATCCATGTGGCCACCATGTCCATGTGGCGCCCCCTCCTGGCTCCAGCTACCTGTCACCAGCTATAATCATTGCCATCCTAAGTGGACCGGAGCCCCCTCCTCACCCCTTCTCCAGTCAAGAGGGGAAGACTCAGGTCCGCTCCTGCGTCTCCAGCCCAGGGAAGGTGCTCACCCGGCTTGTTGAGAAGGCACCGGAGCTCGTACTCGACGTCAGCCTGGCGCTGCTCCAGGTTCTGCTGCTTCAAGCTGGGGAGGTGGAAACAAGGCAGCAGTGAGCAGTTCTGCCCAGTGCCCCACAGAGGAAGTGGTGCTGGGTCCAGTGCTGGGCTCTGCGGTTCCTGCACAGGTGTGGGCGGGGCAGGCAGGACTCACATGTAAATGAGCTCAGACTCCCGCCGCACCAGCAGGTGCTTCTCGTGGATGAGCTTGAACCAGTCCACCAGCATGTCATCCTCGCAGCCCTCTGCAAGCCAGACACCCACTCAGCCGGGGCTGGCAGCGCCTCCCGGCTCCATGGCCCCAGGAAGAGGGGCTCACGACAACCCCGCCGCTCCCACCAGCATTCCCCGCGGCACCGCACCACTGGCCCCGCCTCGCAGCTTCTCTTCCAGCAGGACCCCGCGGTGTTCCAGGGCATCAAGCTGGCGCTCAATGGCATCCATCTCTCCACAGATGTCCTCCTCAGGGACGTACTGGTCCGCCTGAACCTGCGGGTGGGACCCAGGTCACCGGAAGGACAGCCAGGAGCCACACCCCTCTTCCTGGCTAGCACTGGCCGTGCAAGCTCCAGGGACCAGGTTCTGTCCCATGTCCAGCATGGCAAGAAAGCAGGACAGTGTGGGAAGGGGTCAGGGTGGGGACCGCTACCACCCCTCCGTGCTACGATACCAAGAGACAGCCACTTCCTGCCCTTGGGGAAGTTCCTCCCTTCTCCGCCACCCCAGGATTTCACCAAGGGAGCGGGAGTGACCCCCTCTTCAGAGCACCCTCTCACAGGAGCACTTTAACTTAAACATCTATGCATAACCAGGCAGTGCACTGCCTGCTGCTCTCCAGCCTGCTCCCGATCCCCTGGCTGTAATTCCAGCCCCCAGGCGGGCCACCCATGAGCCCTCTCTTGAACATCAGAGGGCAGCAGCCCCACCCGGCCCAGGCCAGCTGAGTCTGGGGGCTCCCTGCTGATACCTTGCGTTTGATGAGCGGAAAGCCATGTCCCGGGGCAGGAGGCCTCACAGGCTTGGATCCCTTGGTGGCCTTCTTTGCAGTTGGAGATGCTGCAGGCGATGGCTTCCGATTAAAAGGATTCTCCTTGCAGGAAGACTAAAGACGGGGACATAACAAAGGTTTAGTCTCAGAAGGGGGCAGCCTGATCCTGTAAGATACAGAAAGCAAGCCAGGACCTAAAGGCAAGAGGGGCGCTCTAAGGACAGGAGGGCCCAGGTAAGGCCAGACTCTTTCCTGATTCCATTCAGCAAACGTTTCCATTTCCAGAACACCTCCCAAGGGGCAGTTACAGCACAGGACGCTGTGTCTATGCTATGTAAATCTCACAACCAGGGCTGGGGTGCAGCTCAGGGGTAGAGTGCTTGCCTTGTGTGGGGGGCACAACCTAGTCCCATCCTCACCCAGGATTAGGGGAGAATTTCAGAGGCAGTGGGAGCAGAAGGCAAGGCTCATAGGTGGCCTCGCTGGCCCTTCCCCAGGTCCCCAGGCAACTGCTGCCCTGTGGGATCTAATCATTACTGAAAGACTCCCTGAGCTGGGGAGGCAGGCAGCCTAGCCCTGACCGCCCCCCAAAGACACCATGGTTAAATCTCACAACCAGCCTGCACAGTGGGCTCCTCCTGCCTCAGCCTCCTAAGTAGCTAGGATTGCAGGACTGTACCACTACATGGGCTTACTCCAGGACCTAGGGCTGAGACACAAATGTGCCCACAGCCCACAGAGCACCTGAAAACACTGATCCCTGGGAAAGGGCACAGCCAGAGGAAGGCAGAGCCCATCCAGGCCTGGCAGGCCTGAGAAGAGGGAGGACAGGCAGGGCCACATCCAACAGAGGTGCTTAGCAGGGCGTGTCCTGGGCCCCTGGCCTGCTGGGGCTGACCCTACCCACTGCAAACTGCCCACAAGGGAAGCTATGAGCCTCGAGGACAGGGAGCACCACCCTTCAGCCCAGGCTCACAGCAGCGCTCAGTGAGGGCCGGCTGCCCACTCTCCAGCATGGGTCAGGGTCTCAGGAGAAGGAAGCCATCCCCCCACTATGCTCTACTCAGATTGCCTTCTGGACCCACACCTGTCCCCTGAGCAGACTGTGAGCCTTGGGGAGTGAGGGCACGGACTCCATGCCACCATGCCTAGGGCCCAGTATTAACAGAGCCAGAGAGGACAGAAGGGCGGACAGGTAAATGGTCAGTCCCCTGACCCAGGCAGGGAAACAATTCCTGGATACACGGTATACAGACAGCCACATGGACAGACAGCTGCACGGACGAGGGAGGTCTGGCAGACGGACAGAAGGATGACATGCATCTGTGTCTGTGTCCCACTGCACAGGGTGGTGAGGGGGTCACACCCAAGGCCACTCAGGAAGTCAGGGGCCAGCTAAGCATGGTGGCGCACTGTAATCCCAGAACTCTGGGTGGCCAAGGCAGGAAGATTACAAGTTTGACTATAGCCTGGGCAATGGGATGAAACCCTGAGTCAAAATGAAAAATAAACGAAGAGCTGGGGATGCGGCTCAGTGGTTCAATTCCCAGCACCACAAGAAAGGGGCAGCCAGCACAGATGGGCAGCCCTGGACATCCCTGCTACATCCATGAGAGGACACAACCTCTAGGAAGGGGAAAGGGCACTCACCTTTACCTGAGGCTGTGGAGATGAGCTTCCAGGCGATGGCGCAGGGCTCCTATTTCCAACCAACAAGAAAGGCGTGGGAATGGCGCCACTGCAGGGCCTGGCTGGCTGGGGACCTGGGCTGTCCTTTATTCCGGCCGGAGGCGTCTGCTCCACACTGGGCTGTACCAGCTCCCCAGATGAGGACAGGGAGGAGTGGGCAGAGAGGCTGGCAGAGTTCCCAGGGGTGCCAGGAGTTCCGGAGGTGCCAGGGTCATGGACAGCAGGCTCCGAGGAGCTCTTGGGCACGGCTGGTGGCTCCAGAAGCTCCCCACCCCCTATCTGGCTGGAGCTCTCAGACGCCAGGCTCTCTACACTGAGGGCTGGTGACGGCGTGGCCGAGGGGGGCTCCGAGTGCGAGAGGCGGGAGGCATGGAGAGCTGTGGGACCAAGCAAACAAAGAGGAAGTCAGGGCTTCCAGCTGGGACACACTCCACTCCCCAGAGCACAGGTGGCCCCAGAAACCAAGCTCTGCCCATGTGACCAGGCCACAGGACAGAGCATAGCTTGTGCGTGCACAGCAGGACCAAGTCACAGAGTGTCTGGCCACCAGGACCCGGCCAACTTTGTGCTCTGACACACGATGGCCCTCGCCCCATCCAGCAGATCTGCTGCCTCCATTGCCCGCAGCCACACCCACACCCACACCCCTCCAAGGCCCAAGCCCACTCGAGGGCAAGCTGCCAGGACAGGACAGAGGGTAAGGCCAGAGGGGTAAGGCCAGCCTTCCGCCTCCGATCTGCAACAGGAGAGAGGGACAGCAGCACTGGCTATGACCGGCCCAGGCCGGGAACTGCGTGAGAGACTGTGCCACCCACACTTCCCAGACGAGCCCACGACTCAGAGAGCACATGGCATTCGCCCAGCCACGCCTGGCTAGAACACAATGGTGCCCATCTCCACAGCTCAGGCCCTCTGCTCACCCTACGTTTGCCCACCAAGGGGTCCCAAACTCAGACCACCCAAGCACCTGCGCTGTCATCCCTCCATGTGAGGGGCCCACTGGGCTCTCAGAAGCAGCTGGGCTCCAGCAGGGGTGGAAGGTGACCAACAGAGTACAAAGACTAGGAGACAGGGACAGCCAGAAAGTACAGCGTGCCCCGATGAGGGAGGAAATCCGTGGCACCCCAATTCACAGGAACTCTGCCAGGTGAGAGCCCAGGTTGCTGGGCAGCTGAAGTGACAGTGAGGTGACCCAGTGAGGCAGGATGAGAGCTGAGCCTTACCACGTGCCTCCCAGGAGCCCCACGCTCCCCAAGCCCGTGTTTAATCAGCGTAAGAGGAGGGAAGCTGGGCCTGAGGCAGATCACAGTAATAACACCTGCGGGTCTGCCCTGGGAGCAAGTGGGAGGGGACAGTGAACCCCACACCCAAGGGCACCTGGCTCTGAGCAACCGGGGGACCACATCCCCCGCCCAGTCACCCCAAGTCAGCACAGCTCCGAGAAGGCACTCACCATGCGGGGTCACACTGGGCACACGGGGAGCAGGGCGCTTCTTCGTCTTGGGGCTGCTGGTGGGCGTGATGCCATACCAGGGGTGCAGAGACTTGGGGGTGCACTCTGGGGGTGCCTGGGCAGGACTAGGGGCCGAGCTAGGTGCCGCTTGGGATGGCTCCTCAGGCTCCTCCTCATTCTCAAAGGGGTTGTAAGGCTTGGGCTCACGGCTGGTTCCGGCCACCAGGCTGCACTGAGGCATCTCCTCTACGCCACCATTCTCCACCTGCCTGCTGGCCCGGCTGGGTGGCCCGGGGCTGCCTGGGGGCGGCGGGGCTGGCTTCTTCTTGGGCTCTGCCTGCACCAGCGTTATCCATGGGGGCTCCTTCCTAGGGGGTGGCATCCTGCAGAAGCACGAGCGGGGCAGGGGTCAGCCTCCTGCGGCCTCGGGACAGTTTGGAGTCCATCTCCAAGGGTGTCCAATTCCCTTCGCCTCCCAGCCCAGGAGCCACCTGGACCCCAGGCCCAATGGATCATTACAGTCATGGCCCAACCAGGCGCCTCAAGGCCCAGGCAGGGTGGACCGCAAGTCACGCAGCCCAGGAAAGGACCAACAAGGGGCCGCATGTGACACTTGAACAAAGCCACCTGGCCTCCCTGTGCGTCAGTCCCCTCATCTGCTAAATGGAGACAACAAAGCCTCACAGGACTGTCATAAAGCACCCAGTGAGTCCCACATCTGGTGCCTGAGTGTCACATCGTGCAAGTCCTCCACACGGGTTAACTGCTAGGACAGCCTGGCCTCCCAAAGCACAGCTCTCAAAGACCTGCCACCCAGGCCTTCCTGGGTCTCGCATATTATGGGGAAGGTGAGGCTGGAGAGAAGAGATGACTTCACAGGTGGTGTCCCCTCCTGAGTTACAGGCAGGCAATGGCACTCTCTGGCCCCACCGGGAAACGAGCATCCCCCTAAGCCTGGCCCTGCATACCCCCAGGAAGCCCTGTTCCCACCCAGGCCCTAGGGACTCCCATTCCCACTACCAAGGCTTCCAATGCAGAAAAACCTCTCAGGGACCAACATACCTCTCGGACAGCTTGGGGGTCCCTCTGGGCTTGGGGACAGGGGGCTCCTGAAGTCTTCCTGCATTGGAAAGGACAGTGAGCCAGGCCTTCATGGGCAGCAGAGAGGGGCACAAGAGCCAGGCAGAGTGGCTGCCTCCCCAAGGAGTGCCCTTCCCTCCTACCCACAGGTCACAGACCCTGGGTGACCATGGCAACCTCCCCAGCACCTGGCACCTCCCTGCCCAGCACACAGGGAGATTAGATAAGCACTGAAGGTGACCAGGAGAATAGTGACTAGGGCAGGAGGTGGCCAGGCCTCCTGAGACCCTGCTTACACTTCATTTGACAAGAAGGAACCTGAGTCCCCTCAGGCACTTCCCCAGTGTGGGCTGGAAACATGGGCTCCATTCAGTCCAGGTGCCACCCACTCCTAGAAGCCCCTCGCCTCCCAGGAGAGGACCCAGGGAGCCAGCTGGGGTCGCCAGTGCAGTTCAGAGTGGCTCAGGACCCCAGAATCCCCGTCCTCCCTCCAGCCTCTGAGCTCTCCCCAGCCAGCCACTGACAATGAGAAGTCACCAGAGTGTGCCTGGGGAATGGAGTGACACCAATGTATCCAGTCCCCAGGACTCTCAGGACACACAGGCACACACAGAGACACATTCACTACTACACAGCCAGAAACACAGACAATCAGAGAAGCACAAAAACACCCCACACTACACCCACTGAACGGGGCAGAGGGACCTGTGTCTCAGCTGTACCAGCTTCAAGGACTACGCCTGGCTCAGAGAGGCCCACAGTGACCATCTGTGACAGGAATTAAGGACCCCAGAGACACAGGTGACCCCCAATTCCAAACACTCCCAGATGTACATGGACATTTCAGTGCTCACACACCAGCCCTGGCTGCACCCCGCTCACCGTTTGCAAGGCCACCGCTGCCACCCTGCTCTGCCGAGCTGTCCTGCTGCAGGCTGGACCGGGGCCGAGGTGTGGGGGGAGTTGAGGCAACGCTGTCAGAGGTCTTCCTGGGGGCAGGTGTGGGCCGGCTGGAGGGGAAGCTGGCCAGCTCCTGGGGTTTTCCAGGAAGGGGTGGCTTGGTGGGGATGTGGGGCCGGGCCTCGGGGATGGCCTTGGGTGCTGCAGCCACACCGGGGCTGGGGCCACCTCCCTCACCATCCCTGGCTTCTTCTTCGAGTTGCTGTGACTTTGGCTGTGAGGGAGGCCCAGGCCTGGCTCCCGCCTGTCCCCCTGGGCCCAGCCTGGTACAACGCTCTGTACACACAAAGGTTCCTTCCTCTGGCCCGCTCTTGTAGGCCCCCGGGAGCAGGGTGCTGGAGCACTGCTGACATCTGCCGGGGACAGGACAGGGTTCCCTTAGCTGGGAGCCCAGCAGGACACGGCTGTCCCCTCCCCAAGCCCTCCCAACCACCAGAGGATCCTGGCTCAGTCCGAGGATGTCCTAGATCTCCTAGAAAAAGCAAATGGTGGTAATAGAAACACTGGAACAATGAAAGAGCATGAAACCTGCACCAGAAATTGTGAAACATGCCTTGGGTCTGTGCTGTAAGAGGAAGCACAAAGGCAGCCCCCAGGTCTGTCCAGCGGGAGGAACTGCCACATAAGTGGCTCCAGAAATCAATTTGGTGGCTTTCAACCAACCAGATTAGTTTTGGGGTTGTGTTTTTTTCAATGCTGGGGATTAAACCAAAGGTCTCTAACATGCTAGGCAAGCATTCTTCCATTGAGCTACATCCCAGCCCCAGGTACATTTGTGTTTAATGAAACTGAATAAAATACAATGTACCACAGTGAATCATACAAACAAGGACAAACTTTGTTTTTTTTTAAAGACAAGGTCTCACTACGTGGCTCAAGCTGACACAGAATGTGATTTGTAGCCCAGGCTGCCCTCAAACTTGCAATCTCCCTGCTTCAGCCGCCCATGTGCTGGGATTACAGGTTGTACCACCAATGCCTGGCCAAAGGATTTTTGTAAAAACCTTCTTTCATTTGTTCATATGGACACAGGTTTCATTTTAGGTACTTAACACTCTGTCCCAGTGTCAAATGCTTTTCTTTTCTTTCTTTCTTTTTTTTTTTTTTTTTTAACTAAGTCAATGTAAAAAGTTTCTAAAACACTGCTTGGCTAGATATGACTATTCCTGTGTAACCTGGTCCCCCATGACTCCTCTGTGTGAGGGTTCTACACCCTCTCTCTCTCTCTCTCTCTCTCACACACACACACACACACACACACATATACACACACACACACACACACTCTAAGCAGATCAGATATGTGTAGGAAGTCAATCCTTGGCTTCCTCTGACTATATTCAAATTTCTGGTTTCTCCTTTGCAACATAAATTTTTTTTTTTGAGACAGGGTCTCACTATGTAGTTGAGACTGACCTGGAATTCAGCATGTACCCCAGGCTGGTCTCGAACTCACAGTGATCCTCCTGCCTCAGCCTCCCAAGTGCTGGGATTACAGGCATGTGCCATCACGCCCAGCTGCAACATAAAATATTTTGGGACTGGAGATATAGCTCAGGGGTAGAGTGCTTGCCAAGCATATGACAGACCCTGGACTCCATATCCAGCAACACACACCAAACTACACATTGTCTAAGTTTTGCATTACATTCCGATTTCTTTAAACCTACCTTTACCCAGGAAGCCACACTTAAATCAAGTTACCGTGATTTTTTTTTTTTTAAGAGGGAGAGGGTCTCACTATGTAGTTCAGACTCTAAGGTATAAATTGCCTTTAATATGATCAGGGAGTTACCCTCAAAGAGGTTAGGGACAGGGAGCAGGAGCCTCCAGTGGTAGCCCTGTGTCAGTCATGAAACTCGATAATTATGTGACTGGGAAAATCTTTGTCCCCAGCTGAGCCCCACACTGGGGATAAGCTTGGCAAGGGTCTGGCACCTTGTTGATGCTTGAGCCTGGGGCCCTGCCCTGGTAGCCAGTGACTCACCGGAAGCAGTGGCGGTGATACAGCTTGCCCTCGGCTAGGTACCGCTGTACCAGGTGCACATGTTTCTGGCAGGCTGCACACGTGCTGCTGGGGGCCCGCTGGGCGCCTCGCTCAGACAGGCTGCCCGAGGACAGCTTCTCATTCTGTGCAGGGAACAGAACAGTCACCAGCTGTGAGGTTCCAGAACACTCCCCTGCCCTTCCTGTCATGGGCACGGTCCCTCAGGTGTGAGCCAAGCTTCCTGGTGGCCATACACAAGGATCAGAGCCCTACGAGGGGCAGAGGCCTGGAGACCATCACCATCTCCCGATGAGAACACTAAAGACCACAAAGGTGACACACTTGCTCTAGGTCACCAAGCTTGGATGGAAACAGAAAGATGCGGACTTCTGGTTTCTGAGGGTCCCTGCCCCCAGGAAAGGCAGCTTCTGATGCAGTCGCTCCCTGTGGCTGCTCTGGCCACTCTCTCTATTCCCTCTGGGGTGGCCCTCTCTGAGGGCTACATCCCTCTTGTTGAATCCCAGTGTCTCTATTGGCCAGCACTGAGACCTGGGCATTTCTCTGGCCTTGGGCCCCACCTGCAAAATGGCCCTGTATAACCCATTCCTGTCTTGGTCCCACACAGCCTCCCTGGGTCACTGCACCCCAGGCCTGGCTGTCCCTGGAGCACATGAAAGTCTGGTGTCCTCGGGACAGGTGACAGGCCTCACTTCCCCACTGAGTGGCCTGGGAAAAATGACCAAACCTCACTGGGCCCGAGCTTCCTCTTCTGCCATCAAGGCCCCTGCCCTCCCTGAGCTGTCACTCAATGGAACCATGCAGGGGCGTTGGATCTCTGACTCAACAGGAGTCAGGGGACATCTGCTCTAGTCTATGTGCAGCTCCTGACTGTCCCATGATGGCAAGGTCACTGTGGGGCCCGCAGAATTGGACTGGACCCTGACCTCTGCTCTCTGCCTTAGTCTGGGAGACTCAGTTCCCAGAGCCAGTGGGAAAAGGACAGAGAACACCTGTGAATGCCGCCAGGGCCAATTTTCTCCTGTGACAGTCTCTGCAATGACAACTATCCCCCAAACCACCCTCTCAACCTGAAGCACCTGCCTACCTGAGCCTCATCTCCTGGTTCAGCTGGAATAGGCACCGCCGATGGTGGGGTCGAGGAGGCCAGGTCCTTCCTGGGCGGTGAGATACCGGCTGTGGGGACAGGAAAGGTGCCTGAGGCCATGGACCCTTGGAGCTTGGAGGCCCCAGCTGCCCACAGACCAGGGTCAGAGTCCGGGGCAGTGGGCAAAGGCAGCCTCCGCATCACATGGATAGGGGGATACCTTCACTTCCAAGCCACATCCTGAGGACAGGCCACTTGACCCCACTGAGCCTCCATAAAACAGGGACAGTAAGTGCACTGCGCAGGATCGATACGAGCAACAGTACAGCGGGGCAGGACAGACAGTTTCCTTCCCACCCGTGTAAATGGGACACAGGAAAGGAAAAACAGCACACAGTGCTGGCCTGAAGTCTCAGGAAGATGGACCTGCGCCCTGGGTGGACAAGGAGCTGCCCAGCCTAACCCCAAGTGACCAGGGGTGGCCTGGAGCCCCACTGAGGCCCTTGGTGAAGGACACCCACCCACACCACAACACCCAGGGCTCCCCAAAGGCCAGCTCCTCCCTACCCAGTGCACAGTCACCAGGCCGCTCCTCTGCACCCAAGGCAAAACAAAACCCCAAATCCAGAGAATTATACACCAAAATCAGGGGCACCGTGTGATAATGTAAACTGTAACCTCAGACTGTGAGGGGCTGAGGCAGGAGGGTGGTGTGTTGAAGCCCAGCCTGGGTAACATAGTGAGACCCTGTCTCAAAATAAAAAATGAGGTCTGGGATTACATGAGCCACCATGCCTGGCTATAACCAGCACATTTAAAAAATGAAACAAGCCTGGCATGGTAGCACACACCTGTAAGTAATCGCAGGGCTCTAGGAGGCTGAGGCAGGAGGATTGCATATTCAAGTCCAGCCTGGGCTCTCAAAATAAAAAAAGAGGGTCTGGGGATTTAGCTCAGTGGTACCCGCCTGCCATGCAAGTGTAAGGTCCTGAGTTCAATCCCCACTACAAAAAAAGCAGGGGCAGGCTGCAGATGTAGCTCAGGCAAAGACCTTAAGGTCAATCCCCAGTACTGCCAAAAAAGAAAAAAAATATTTTTTAATTTTGTTTCATCGTTTGAGGGTGAGTGCAATATTGGGGATGGAACCTCGACCTTCACACTGAGCTGCAGCCCCCCAGCCTTTTTGTTTTGGTTTCTAAGACAGGGTCTCAGTAAGTTATAGAAGAGAAACTATCTGCAGCAATAAAGTATGTGTTGTAAAGGAAAGAACTGTTTCATGAAACTTGTTTTGTGTTCAGTTACATACATGTGCATGAACTGGAGTGCGGTGGAAAATGGACTCCTCACTAGGAGTCATGAGAAGCTCTGGACACCAGAGGCCTAGGCAGGGCCCTTCAAGACCTCCTCCCTCTGCACCCCATCCATCCTTATCTCCTACCCCTGGCCTGGTTCCTTCACAGATTCTGTTTGGAGGGGGAGGTTGAGACAGGGTCTCCCTATGTAGTTCCAGCTGGCTTTGAACTCACTGTGCAGCCCAGGCTGGCCTGAACTCCGAACCTCCTCCTCACTCCTGAGTAGCTGGAATCACAGGCGTTCAACCACCAAGCCCACCCCCAGCACGCATGCATGTACCATTCACAATGCGTCTTACCCCATTACTCTACTTCGTTCCTTCACCCGGCTCACGTGAAATGATTCTACTTAGTGATCTGTTCTTTCTCATCCTCCCTGTCACTAGAACACAAGCTCTGTGTCTGTCTTACGCTCAGCAGCCCCATCCCCCAGCAGCCAGTGCTCGCCTGGCACACAACAGGCCTCATAAATATTTGCTGCAGAGCTGTGAACAAGGAAGAAGTGGTCCGGAGGGGAAGGAAGGTGACCAAGGAAGACACGATGGGGGCTGCAGATGTAGCTCAGCAGCAGAGCAGCAGCTTAGCATGCAGGAGGCCCTGGGTTCAATCCCCTGCACCAAAAATTATCCATTATGTGGTGTTGGAAAAACTGGATGTCAACCTGCCACAGATTAAAATTAGACCCTTATCTTTCACCATGCACTAAATTAAAATCCAAATGGATTAAAGACCTAAATATTAAAACAGAAACATTAAACTTGCTGGAAGGTAAGTTAGGCAGAACTCTGGAAGACATTGGTATAGGAAAAGACTTTATGAACAAATCCTCAGTAGCACGGGAACTAGCAGATAGAATCAACAACTGGGATCTCATCTTACTAAAAAGCTTCTGTATTTCAAAAGAAACCATCAGCAGAACTAAGAGACAATCTACAATGTGGGAAAAATTTTTACCAGCTGTACCTCAGACAA